GAACAAGCCAGAGATGAGAGAGCTTTCAGCACACATAAGAAAAGGCAAAAAAAAAAGAGACAGAAACGTGACAAAGACGCGTAAACACGATGACACAGCGAAACAAGGGGAAAAAAGGTATAAAAAAAAGGGCATGCACGTGATCAGGAAGAGAGGACAGGGATGACAATCTGAAACAAAAAGGTGTAGCGATGAGTAATCGCCCTTCCCTTAGATCCTCTATAAAAGCTAGAGAGGATTTCAGAAGAGGGGATCGGGTGAGAAGAGACCGAAACATCTGTGTATTTTCTGGAAAAAAAAAAGATTGAGAGAATTGGTGGAATTCACAACTAATTCGAGAAGTAATATGAGGCTTTGAAGGTGAGATAGGTTTGGAAATTCTCAACTGCAGCAATAGGTTTGAAATTTATGAATCCAAATTACTCTAACTTTGATTGGTTAGCTTATGTTACCTAGTTGATTATCTAACTCTTGTTCTTTTTGACTGTGATTCAATGTTGGGAATCTGGAGTTGAAAATTAGATAGAATTTTTTTGTGTTTTTTCTTTCTTTGGTTAACTTGTAGGGGGATCTGGGTTAAGCTCAATATATGTATGTGTTGAACGAATGTCTGGTTTAGCTCTGCATCTGTATGTGTTGAACGATTGTTTATCCTGGCTGAATAATTCATGCATGTTTAAAGTTATTTAAAAGCTCAAAGATAGATTAAAAATTTAAGGTGTCATTTGGTTAAAAGCTGGTTTCATGACCTGGTGGTTGGCATTGCGTGAACTATCCGGATTTTAATATTTAACGATTATATTAGTAAATGAGAGTGTGGTTATAGGTATGAATCATATTGCTTTTTTTATTTTTAATTTTTTATGGATCACTGTCCAACTATTTATAAGATTAGATATGATTTTATGCATCCTAGTGATCAGAGAATGTAGTTCAATTAAATTTTAGCCTCATGGTAGTTGAAGATTTATCATCGTGCTTGCTTATTAATCATGAGAATTTGCCAATTTCATGGTGACTGTTTTGGGTATGGTTGAATTATAATATGAATTCTCATGCTTTTTATTTATTGGCCATGTGAGATTTTAAGAAATATATATAGGCATTCAAAATGATCATCTACTGTGTAAATGAATAAGGTTTCACAAGTAGATAGATCTAACTTGTATATATTGATATTGATTCCAATGATCCTCCATAATAATTAACCTTTTTTAACTTAAATCGATAAAATATTTAAGTTTTTCATGTAAAAGTTCAAGGAATTTTCATAGAGATTTAAATTAATTGCGTCATCAGATGGGATAATAAATCCTCACAGATAATGTGATTATCAATTTATATATAGTAAATAAATAAATTTTTTGTAAATAAAATAAAATAATAAACATTTTTTTAATAAAATTAATTAATTAAATTAATATATTTACACGAAGACCTTAAAATCTTTTGATCATATGAGATTTTTGAATCTCTATAAATTGCTAAGATAATTATTTTGTCATGAGTTAATAAGACTCTGCTGATATGATGATCATGAGTTTTATCATACGCTGTGAATGATTATAGTCCTCGTGTGCCCACTGAATAAATTTTTAATATATAAAAAACATATTAAAATAAAATATTGTGTAGATAATCTTAGATTTCATATCATAAAGAAAATATAGAATTTTAAAAAGCATTAAAGTTATTTAAATGTCCACGAGTGACAATAAATCTCCGTAGGCATATTAAAATTTTTTCCTTTAAATTACTTTTTTATGTTGACAAAATGAATCTTTAAAATAAGAGAAAGTATAATAATGAAAACATTTTCAAAATATAAAATGAGAAGAAGAAAGTGAAACCACATTATCTTTACAATTTAAAACACAGCAAATCTTAGAAAATTATTTTATTTGCAATTGATAAGTTATTTTCATTTAAACTTCTCTTTTTTAGGGATATTATAAATAAAGAAAACCATTGACATTAGTCTTATCCCGAATTACAGGAACTTTGATCCCCCATAGAGTATGTAGACCTCAGAGTCTAATTCTGAGTCAAGTTAGTCCTTATAAATAAATAAAAATATTTTTATTAATTATTATCATTTTTATATCAAATACATGACTGAGAAAGGGATAAATTAAAATAACTTTAAAATTATATTAATTTAGCACAACAAACTTTAGGTATCGTTATCATGAACAGGTGTTATAGGGTGCCTAACACTTTTTCACACTTAATCGACTCCTGACCTATTTTCTACTTTCACAAACCATGTTTACCTCTTTTAAACGGTTTTTCAAGATTTTTTCTCAAAATTTTGATGACGACTCCATTTTTTCGGTTTCTTTCCAAAGGGCGAAATCTCCACTCTCGCGCGCCGTCAGCATCGCATTTCTGGATTCGACAATAATAGTATTTTAGTCCAATATATGACTTAATTATCAAATAATGGTTGGATGGATGAAACTAAGAACTTAAATATAGAAGACATATTTGTATTTTATAACTCTTAACTATTAATTTTAAGAGGGATTCATATAGATTTTAAAATAAAAAAATGTTTATAATTAAAATAAAATAAAGGGAAAAGTAACATATTTTACTTTAAAGATATTAAAATAATTTTTTAATCGGGTTAATGTGGGATTTGAACTCTAAACTATAGCTCTAGAGATGATTGAATCTTTGAAATTTTAAAATGTACATTTTAAATTTTAATAATTAAAGATGGAATAATTTTACCTTATCATTAAAATTTAAAAAAAACATCTATTAGTTTTTCAAAAATTAAAATCTAATGTATAGTTTTATCAAATTTTACTATCCCTCTTTTCCACTCGTTCATCGCACAAGATAAAATTTTAGTTAAATATAAATACAATATACAATGTAAAAAGTACGACATTATCGATCCCTCTATTTATTTCCAAATCATAGTTAATTACACATGCGCAACAAACTATTAATACTAATCAGTATTTTGCTTCCCAGTTAACAATTATTATTATTAAAATCTCTAAACTTCTAATGATTTCAATGCCATTCCCTTCACTGTCTACAAAATTGCTCACCTAAAAAAAAAAAAAATACGTCATTTTATTCTATCATATTCTGATGGCTCTATCTTAATTAAAAATTATAAATAATCATCCTACTTCCTTCATTCCAATATCATAGAGATTACTTTTCAATGTCTTCAATATCTCCGGCCTCTCCGCATTTCCTTCAATCTGTTTTTTTTTTCCTTTTTTTTTGGGGTTAAATTCTTCCATCTTTTCGGCAAAAATGCTTCCATACAGGGCAAAACTATGATTTAAGAATAAAGTGGGTTAAAATTAAAATATATATATATATATACCATAAAGTTTTTATAAATTTTAGGACAGTTAAAATATGTAACATGTATATAACATAAAAAAAAATAAAAAAATTGGAGGGCATGGCTTCTATTGATCCCCTCACTCGGCCATTGCTTCCATACCTGCCAATCTCAGTCATGCCATGCAAGAACAAACTTCGAGCCATAGAGTACGATCTTGGATCTACTATTTCAACACAACTACAATAATATCTCTGTTCAAGCAAAATTCATTCCCATAAGCCATACTCATAAAAAAACTATATAATCATGACCCACAAATTTCTTCATGAGCCAACATCGTTAACAAAATCTAACAACCCTACAACAATACTTTATAAATCAACCCCTTCATACTCCAAAACCAAGACAACTTTGCATTAAAAACCTCATCAACCTTATAATTAATTTTACAATTCGATATATGTCAAATTAACTTCTCGTGCGATGCAGGGGCACATTCTCTAGTTGATAATCAAAGTGAGTTGTAGGCCGCTTTGATTTGACACAAGGGCATCATTATAATATCCTAACTTGTCTGCGCGCGTGAAAGACGAGAAGTGTCTTTCTTCCTTCCAAAGCCAAGAGAGTCAGAACCACTAGGAGTGAAAATAATACAGCAGGAGCTTAACTAGAGTTTCAAAAGAATTTATGGGATAAGAGGGTTGTCTTTTAATCTTATGTTTAGAGAGGATAATATTTTTGTCCATCTTTTGGTCAAGTTTGCTTTGAATATAATAAATGAGTTTCAATCTTTTAATTAACTCCCACCTTATTGTATTAAGATGGTGGATGATGATAAGAGGATTTTTTAATAAACTTTTTTGCAGGTTGTATTAGTTACTTTGTTTACCTTGTAATTAAGGAAAAAAAAAGAATTTATGGGATGAAAGTCATTTTGCTTCTAAATTTCATCTCAAAAATCAATGGGCATCCTAAACTCAAATATTTTATAATAAAAATATTAAAAAAATGTAATTTGAGGCTCACTAATAATGAATAGACAACAAGTTAATATTAGGGTGATAAGAGAGTAAATATTTAATGTTGAAGGATATAATTGATTTACAGTTGAATTTAAGTTGCTCAATAACGCTTCATGTAAAGTTCAGAAGTAAAAATGACTTTTAATTCTATAATTTTTTAGTTCTTTTATGTTATTTTTGAGATTTCTTTTCTAATTTTATAGTCAACTACTAATCAAAGTTAATGATAAGGGGATTGCTATGATTTAAAGTTTATGATTCCAAGTATTTTTGGACATATATTAAAAGACTAATTAAACTGACATTTTACCTCGTAAAAAAATGACAGGCTACTTAATTATTAATTAATCATCAATAATAGGCAACGATGTCATGAATTAATAATTGATAAAGACTAATTAATTAATTAATTAATTTTTAAATTGAAACAAAAATTAGAATTTAATTCTATTTGTGTACTTTTTATTTTTTTAAGAGCTAGGCACCTACACTCTTAAATAAACAATTGTCTCTTGGAGTAAATTTTTGAGGCCCAAAAATGTGGTAATCAGCTATAAACTACCCTGTTGTTTGGTGACGTGGCAACATGTGGGCCCAGACAAATTTCATTTGACCATCTGACATGTCTTACCTCCTCCTTTTGACCAGATACGTGGCTCTTTCTTAAGTCATCAAAGGCAAACCACATCCGAAGGAGTGGTTCATCCTCTTCCTCGTGTTGCTTCTCGATCTCGTTGCAGTGACGGCCACTTCAGGTCTTGGAAATGGCTGAAACTTCCTCATCGTCAATGGCAAGCAATAGAGAAGGGTCACTTTGCTCCTGCAATGTGTGGTGGAGAGCGAGATTACGATGAAAACGCGATGGATAGAGAGAGAGAGAGAGAGAAGCTAACCGAATAATAAGGAGCAGTGGTGACAACGTTGATAGGGATATCGGCGGGAGAAAGGGAATAGGAAGAAGAAAAAGAGAGCGCAAAGAATGAAGCCTGAAAGAGCTGCGTGGAGCCATTTTTAATGAAAATGCGGCTATTATGTATCTCTGCGTTGCCAAGTAGAGCATGAAGCAATGGTGTCTCTGAGCTTAGGCATCATGGACCAACACACACTCCTCAAATTGCCCGCAAACCTTCATCACCACCGTACATTCGTCACTCATCTTCCTCTGGTACGACTCCAACAACACTGTATCCCCTTCTAATTCATTCATATCTAATAATATTAAAACTGCACAAAAGAACGGCATTGAATTTAACTTAATTTAAAATTAATTTTTTTATAAAAAAAATGAATTAAATAATCCTATAATTTAGTCTTATTTAATAATAATTTAAAAATTAATAGGATCGAATTTGATTTATAAATTAAAAGATTGATCTTGTTATTTCAATACCCACTTAACTGTTTTTTACTTTTTTTTTAATGAGAGCTAATAATATTTCAACATAATAAACTCAATTAAATAATAAAATTATTTATAATCATAATAAATTTAAAATAATTTTTAATAAAAAATATTTCAGTTATATAACTTCAATAAAAACAATACTTAACAAACTTCATCAACACTACATATAACAATAATTTAAAAACAAACTCAACAAATTTCATGTAATCATCTCTTTAGTATAAATTATACTTGGAGCATTTGTTAAAAATAAATTAATTATAATTATATTAAATAAATTAATAGAACTTGACTGGATTAAGTGATCAAGATGCCCAATCTCCTATCCAGTCCACTTCAAAAAAATAGTCTGATTTTTAGTCTTTTAATCTGAAGAACTAATTGTTTATAAAAAATGAATAAGACAGGACTATCTTAGATTGAATTGGGTCAAACAAAATTGAAAGACTTTTGTATAGCACTATCTAATATATTGAAACCCTAAACATCACCAATCAAACCAAAAACTATTGTTTATATATATATATATATATATGGTGAGTTCCTCATCGGTGAGATTGACGATGGAGGCGTCTGGCAGAGAAGCATTTGCATTAGTAGGGGCAAGCCATTGTTGTGGAGAGGAACTGCGTCGGGAAGGTTAGCCACCATTGTTGGACTTGTTCTGTACGTCGGCAATGACTAATTAAGCTCTTCATGATAATCTTTCTATGTATTTGATTTTTCTCCTTCGCAGCCTTCGATGCCTCTGCCTACACATCCCTGTCCGCCCTACTTCCGCCTTCAAATGTAGTCTGCGCTTTGTCCCCGTTTTCATAGAAAACCTCCTTTCATCAAACTTGCTCTCTCGTATGGAACACACCTACACCAATTTATGCGTAACATTCAGAATATTACACGTTTCGGATTGGATCCAATTGCTAGAAAAGAACAATCTTATGAATAATTGGGCAAAATTGAATCAAGAAAGACCATGAGATGGATTTTGCTGACAGGTTTGCGTTGGTGAGAGGGTTATAGTGGTGACTGGCAATTCAACGCAAGGTAGATTCCCCATTTTAGCCTGATGTGTCCCTCCCAAATAGGATGCCAACTAAGATGGTCAATGGGTCAGACTTCGGACATTTGAAGCCAAATTAGAATTTGCTTGGAGCTTATATTGCCACATCACCATATAACAAGGGAATCCACAGCTGATTAACAAAAAGACATTTTTGGACCTCAGAAAATTGCTCGAGGGAAAAAATTGTCCCCAATTAAAAATATTCTTTTTATTAAAAAATATTTTTTAAGAGAGGTTGAATATTAAAAAATATAAAATATTTTTAATTTGTTAAAATGTAATTATTATTTTTTTAAAGTATCTTATTAAAAAATTTACATACATGAAGGTTATATCCATAGTATACTTTTCTCAATAAATTGATGCCAGCTGGATGATTTTTTCACCTCACCATTTAACTCTCTTTAACTGTGTTTTCCACCATTATCTTTCAAAAATGGAAAGAAAATCAATAACCCCGCTTTTTTGTTCCAACTTATAGTCGCTGATGTTTTTGACGCTCCCCTGTTGCCGCTGCAACACCATTCTTCGCCTTCCATTGTCTGATGATGGCAAAAATTGTTGTGGGGTAAAAGGGAATTGACAGCATAAATTGATTTATATATAATGTAAATAAATTATAAATAAATAAAGTCACCCACCACTAGTTTCAGCGATGCAATATCCACACAAAAAACAAAGCCCCTCACCTGTTCTTCTTTTTTCTTACTTGCTTTGCTTTGCTGTAAGACCACCAACTCTTCTAAAATCATACAGCGGCAGCGACAGGGTGTCAAAAACATCAACAGCTACAAGGATTAATTGAGACAAAAAATCAGGGTTATTGCTTTTCTTTCCATTTTTGAAAGACAACTGTGGAAAACTCTGTCAAGGACAGTTAAATGGCGAACTAAAAAAATCATCCAAGTGACAATAATTTATTAGAGAAAAATATATTAAAAATATAACCTTAAGTATGCAAGTTTTGCCTTTAAATAAATTATTTTATATTTATTTTAAAATAAATTATCTCATTAAATAAGGATAAATTTAAAAGATAGAGTTAATTTAAAAATAATTAATTATTTTATTAAAATAAGATTAATATTTTATATTTTTAAACCGCAGGGCAAGATATCTAGTGTTTTTAGAAAATAAATGTACCACAATTCAAAAAGAAAAAAAAAAAAAAAGAACACGGCACCATGATGAACGTTACATATTTGTACCGGCCCTGAAGACGAGATAACGCTCTGGAACTGGATGGCTGGGCACCACCAGGCCCCAGTACCTGCCGTTCGCTTGGCCAATTGAGCTTCTCAGAATGCAATGTTAGCGATCATGCTCCTGTACTTATGGGGGAGAACGTCGAAGTTTGAACTTCTAAAATCACAAAATTTAAATTAAAAAGAAATTCAGGGAAAGCATAAAAATAAAGAAAAAGTGTATATAAAGAGTGAGACATGCTTCCTTCTTCTTCATCACTGTCCTTGGACATTCATCGATTTTTCGCCATTCCGCTCACTCTCAGTCTCGCTGTAGTGCTTTCCTGTGGGTTTGGGCTTCCTCGCCCGGTTCTTGCCTCTGCTTCTCGGCTCTCCCATCAACGTCACGTCGCTTTCAAGTCAGTTCAGTCTTTGTCCTCGTCGGCGATGGCATTCTCCCAGTCTCAATTTCCGCCTCCTCCGGTGGCTAAGAAGGTGAAACACGCAATGGAGATGTTCGGCGACGTGAGGGTCGACAACTATTACTGGCTTCGGGATGATTCTCGCAGCGATCCTGATGTCCTCTCTTACCTCCGTCAAGAAAATGCCTACACTGACTCCATTATGAAAGGTGTTAACCTTATCCTATACTTTCTTGGGCATAAAACACCGCAAACTGTAGGATTAATATGGCTTGTTTCGGAATGTTAAATGTTATCGAGCATGCCTGCCTGATTTCTCAAACCTGCTGAGATAATTTGTTTTGAATTTCTCGGATTACTTGGAATGTTATAAAATTTTGACTTTGGGTATAGTTGGATCTACTGGATTGCATATTAGTATCTACGTGACTATATTCAGTTTAGCTCGCAAACAATGAAGTGTAGCATTTAGTTGGTTATTGGAGGCTTTTTCTTATTATTCATTACTGATATGAAACATATATTATCATCCATACACCCATTTGCCATAGCTACATGCGACAACTAATATATCCCTAAAATGATAGCTTCACATCGATTGATTGCCAGATACTAAGCTAAGATGACATCTGATTGCTGCACAGCCAAAATGATTCATGTCTATATCAATCTCAGGCAATCTGCTCATATTTATTATCAGTATTTAAAAATCAGTTCTTAAAAAGAAAATATGGTGACAACTTAGAAGGCTAGATATGTGTGACTTGGCTTAGTTGAACTTAACTTCATTGAATTATGGTTGCCTTGAAACTTGGCTTGACTTTTCAAAGTTCAACTCAAAGTAGGCCTTTATCTGCTTGTTTTTAAAGAAGATTAGCTCAAATTTGATGGATTAAATTGGCAGAAATACTGAATGGTCCAAATGAGCCAAAGTTAAGCCCACAATTCAGAGTGTTTTTTGAAGTCTGTTCATTATCTTGGTTCTTTAGCTCAATTCAGCTCGATGTTTACACTTGCAAGAAATATGCAGCTAATATTAATGACATCGCCATCATATTTGTCCAGGCCTCTGTTGTCTATAGACAAGCTTGAGGTTGTATTCTTGGTTCTTGTTCAAATCAGTCCCCTGTAGTCTACTTATACATGCATATTTATCTTCATTTGGAATGAATACAAGTTAAAACCTAACAAGTTGAAGCAATAAAGCCTGGGGATTTCAAGATATATGGTTGGAAATGCTCTTGCCTGTTCTCAGTTCTGTGTTTCTGATGGGTATATTATCCTGTAGGGACCAAAGAATTTGAAGATAAGGTTTTTGCTGAGATAAGAGGAAGGATTAAGGAGGATGATACAACTGCACCTTTACGAAAGGGGCCTTACTATTATTATGAGAGAACTTTGCAGGGGAAGGAGTATGTTCAACGCTGTCGGTGCCCGGTACCTGACAATAAGGCAACACCATCTATTTATGATACTGTTCTGACTGAACCTGTTCCACCTCAGGAGCATGTTATTTTGGATGAGAATATCAAGGCCCAAAATCATGAATACTACAGGATTGGTGCTTTTAAGGTTAGACCATTTATTATAGCATTTCCTCTTTTTATTTATTATCTCTATTATATTACGAATGCTCCTTCTTTTCAGGTCAGTCCAAATAATAAGTTGGTAGCATATGCAGAGGACACTAAAGGTGATGAAATTTATACTATCTATGTCATAGATGCTGAAACCCAAGCTCCTAAAGGAGAGCCTCTTCATAATGTAACATCATACATTGAATGGGCTGGTGATGAAGCTTTGGTTTATATCACAATGGATGAGATTCTCAGGCCTGATAAGGTGTTGCATTTTCTCTTGATACTCTTATTAGTAGTTTGCACCATAATGATTGATGCTTTTGTCTGGACTCACTAAATATTAGTATTTGGTCAGTGGGTTTTTTCTTTTTATTACAGTAGCTTCATGTATCCAAATGAATGCAAAGCTAGGCTTGAAAATTAGTATTTTAAACCTTAGGCCTACGATTAAACAATAATGTATTGGGAATCAGATAATGTAAATTGGGTATTGTGTCCTGAATATGCCATAAACAGGATTTTCTTTTCGCAACTTCTATTCCCTTTTCATGGAAAATGAAAACTACTAACTTAAGGTCAAATTTATGTTTATAATGATTACACTGGGATTATGCATCTTGCATCCTTTGTCTTGCATAACTACATTGATTTTATGTGGTGAAGCATTTGTTTAGCTGTTCCCATTGTGATGTAGGACTAGAACAAATGAATCAAAAAATTAAGGAAAAAAACAGTCAAGTCGAATAAGAAGGCTTACTCAAATTCTTACTAAGGTTACATTCCTAAATGAGTGCAGACTAAGTTATAGGCAACCAAAATAGTTGGTCCCTTTTCTTAACAGTTATCCTAATTGTATAAATAGTGTTCAGTCTGGGGTGACATTTTCCTAGGCTCAGGTTCCTTCATTTGAACCCATGATTAAATATTAAATTTCCCTACTTATCTGATTAAAAATTCAAAGTTGCCAATGATGATATTATTATTCATAAATAATAATTTATTCTAAGTTGACCTTGGTTTTCAAATGAGTAAGGAGGAGAAAAGCATGAATAACAGCAACAGGCTGATGGTAGTGTTGGTGGAATGAACACATGTAAATTTTCGAATTTATGAAATTTTCTGGAATAACAAAGTTAATGTAAAAGCTTAACTTTGTTTCCATGGTTGCTTATCTGTAACTTCAATATTGTTGATCTTCATTCTTTAGTGCTGTTTGCTGCTGATCTGCTCTTTTATTTAATCCAAACTAAGGCACAAAAGTTGACAGCTCAGCCCTAGACTAACTAACCTACAAAATAACCTTGGTATCTGAAAATAACTAAAATATGAAACTAGAAACACATAAAACAACAAATAGAAAAACTAGATAAACAATAAATAACAGCAACGGCAGTGCTACATTCTTAGTCAGCAGCACAGTACTCCATCATTGAGGTGGAGAATAGAGGCAAGTCAGTCAAACCCCTCCAGCTGAAGAGTAGAGGTTAATCATTCCCTACATTCTTCTAAGACTTTCAAACATCCCTCTTGGCATGGAAACTTGCATCTGTGTGGTTGTATGATGAAGATCAAAGGCTCCAGCGTTAAATTTCTTCTTGTTAAAATCTTACTGATCAACTGACCTAATTGTTAGACTTCATCTAGTATGTACTTAATAAAAGTTAGCAAGTTTGGAATCAACTAACCAATTCTCTTGTGCATTAACGACATTAACTATATGTTACAAAAGAAAGAGGTAGAAGAGAGGAATGGGAGAGAAGAAGAATAAATAGAATAGATAGGTAGGCAGAAGATTTGAAGGAGAGCAGAAACTACGGAAATTGTATTGACCAAAAGTCTGATTAC